ACTGCTGCGGAGAACAATAGTAAACAGTAATTAGTTTTAAGGTAATAGCTTCTGATAGTTACTCTGTTCTGGTTTTCTGTTATAGAATACTTTTACTAAGGGTATTGCCTTACTGGTCTCTCTCTTGAATGAATTTTTTGTTTCTTCGATCGATGTGGATTATGGACTGCTGAATTAATGCTGAAGCATGTTTACTTTGAGTTTTTGACATGAACATTGAAAATTTGTAATTTATCATGATGTTTGTTGCTGGATATTTTGTATTGTCGTGGCTTCTGCTATTCCTTTATTGTGTTATGAAGTTCTTTTACCATTCATGTTGGAGTTCGATTCCACGAATGCTTTGGTTGAAGCTGAAGTTAATTTACAAAAGCATCAATTCACATATGTTTAGACTGATGGAAATGACAAATGACGGGTTTTTTTATTTGGTTGTGTTAAGCACAAAACTTTATGCATTTACAAAAGTGAACAATGGTAAAATATATTTATAGTTGCTTGTTCTCATATTGGTGCCTATTTAAGCCAGACCAACAAGCTTCTCACTTATCTCCCACAACTTCCGTGCCTTCTCTTCATCACTTGCCTCTTTAGACAGCTGGTTTTCAAATGAATCTGAGTTCTTGTTCCAACTCCAGTAAACACCTGATTTTATCAGACTTGGATCACTCACAACCTGCAAATAGAAGGATTGTTTGGCTCGTGTGCAATGTAACATTTAACAACTGTACATATGAACATATACTGAAGACATGTTTTTTCAAATTATTTAAAGTAACCTGTGCGGGTCTGCTCCCAGCTTCTTCTTCCGAAACATAGCCTTTGGTAATGTACTTCTGAAATGGTGGGAAGAGAAACCTAAACAATGGAATATGCTCCCTGAAGAGAGCTGTTGTTGCGATGCAATCAGGATAAAGAGAGGCAAAGGTGATTCCTGTTTCCTCATGGTAGCGCCTGTGGAACTCTTGCATGGTGAGCATATTACAAACTTTGCTGTCTTTATATGCCTTCGCACCATCAAAATCTCCTCCATCTATCATGGGCGAACTCTCTAGACCATTCAAGCCTCCCACAAGACCTCTAAGATCCCCAAGGTTAGCTTTTGGGGGCACATTTCCAGCCTAGGTGTTTGTGTTTCCCGGAATTACATTGAGAGGTAGTGGACAATTAGAAATTTTACTGCCTTGTATCGTTGCCATATCTTAATCTCTTGTACAACATTGTTAGTACACCTCACATTATCAAGTATATGATTTATTGATTTGCAAAATATTCACAGATGGTAAGAGTTATGATGAATTTTTTCTTCATTATCTATAAATGCTGCAATATGCTCAATTATCATGATTAAAATTCTGCAAGTTTAATAAGAACTGGTCCAATATTACCCTTAATTATGCATAGTGAGAGCTAGGTTGGTACCTGTGATGGAACCAACAATAATGAGACGCTTTGATGTGTAGTCTGACTGCTTCAGGTCATCTAGGAGTAGCCTTGCGAGGAGGAAGTGACCAAGATGGTTTGTTCCAACACTTGGTTCAAATCCTTCAGCGGTGTAAGTTGGTTCCTTAGCACTAGGTAGGTATACAGCAGCATTACAAACCAGGACATCAAGTGGCCTGCCCCAGCGACGGACGTTATCCGCAAATTGCCTCACACTTTCAAGTGAGGCAAGGTCGAGATGAATATGGTATAATTCTCCTTAGTAATGCCAACCGATTTAGCTGCTTTCTCGGCCTTGAGAAAATTTCTGCATGCCATTATTACATGCCATTTCCCTGTTTCAGTGAGAGCCTTGGCTGTGGCCAGGCCCAAGCCAGAGGAGGCACCAGTTATTATCGCAACACCTTTTCTCAATGTCTTCCTTTCCTTCTGCTGCAGCCTGATCGACTGCTAGAGTTGTAGCAGCTGTTTGGGCTCGAATAAGTCCAGCAGGTACTTCCTTTTTCTTAAGTTCCTGCAAGCGGAGTCCATTAAGTGTACCAAACGCTAAAAACTGACAATTCAAGTGGGGGAAACATGCAACGGTTGTCAATGTTTAATTTTTCAATTTTATAATTGAGATTACCAAGATTTTAAATCTCACGAGAGATTCGATTTGGAATTAATTAAATATTACTTGGTTGATAAAAAAAGGTTACAAAAAAAGAATTTTAAAAGGAAATAGATTTATAATAAATAAATTTATATTTATAAAGTTACATATGAAAAAAAAATGTAAGAGAATTATAAAATTGTATAAGATTGATATCGCATAAGATTAGAGAAAATTAAAAGGTTTCTTATGAGTGTATGTTTGAATGTTTGTAGCAAACTAAAAAAGAATGAGAAAATGCACATAGTTGTGATGATTGTTATATTTGTTTAGATGGATTAGAAGAAACTGAAATAATCCACATAAGAATGAGTGTACATAAAAATATGTTTGTTTAAATTAAAAATATTTTATAAAATTAAAGGAGAATAATATGATCCATAAGTATTAATTGTGAGTGAGTGTTGATTGTTTTAATGTAGTTATAATTTTTTATAACTAGTAGATTTTTTTTTATTTGTAGATATATGTTTGTTAGGTTGAATTATATTAAATTATTATTTTTTATATAATTAATTAATTATTTAATTATATTTTCATTGACTTAATTATTTAATTGGATTGGGTATTTGTGTCTAACAATTGGAATTCGAACTGATGTGATCTTAACAACTAATATAAGAATTACATTCGAAACTTGTGGATGAAATTTTTAACCGTTCATTCCACCATTTCTAAAAGAGTCTGAATTAGTATTATAGGATTAATTATGTAGCTGAATTCATTTACTTCAACTTATACAGCAATTGACTTAAGACGCATCTTTTTATCTGCTATTAACTGCATTTGGGTTTGGGAAAATAAAATGCCTCGGCGGCCCTGTGGATGTCATGGTATAAGTCGTCCAAAAATTTTCATGCCTTGATTTTGCAATGAATCAATTTTGAAAAGCAAGATGAAACATGTGATTATGAAATTGTGTGAATAAGGCTAAAAACCTGTCTCTTAATAGTGTGCTCGGATGTGTGATGTTTGTCGGCAATAATTTCATCCCTCACTGTCAACAAGAAAATCATATATTCTGGAGACACAAAGATATTTGCTTGTTACCTGACTTGTTGCCAGAGGAGAGCTGAGTTCAGTTTTGAAATGGGTTGAGAACGAAACACCAAAAAGACTTGTCTCATTAAGACAAGCATTGGATTTGGCCTGTCAATATAACATGTCAGGATGAATCAAATATCAAATGACAGCCATAATCTAATTGAGCTTGTCGAGTATCCCTACTTTCTAGCAACTGACCTCTTTGTGGATGGAGATGGTAGCTGGGAGTAATGAGGCTGCTCGGAGAGCCATGAACCTGCCAAAGCTAATTTGCGGTGCTCTTCGAGATATTGAATATGTGCCAAATGGACTGACCGGTAATAGTTGTTCCTTATGTAGAAAGTCTGGAGACAGATAAGATTAGTTTACAGCATCTTGACAGAACACGCCACGTCAGCTTCTAATGTCCAATGAGATTTCGAGTTTTGGATTTGTTTAGATTTCTCTTCCGCTTTTCATTGGTCCAAAGCGCCTTTGGCATTGCCGTCTGAAATCTTGTATAAACAGTTATTCTATGGGCCTTTTCGGCCTACTGTTTATATGCAACAACCCAGTCCACAGGGATTAAAGTAGATGTGACATTATTATTAATCAATCAATTAGGTTTTTTTTTTTTTTTTAAATATCTCCAAGTGCAGCCTAAATATCTTCCCAAAGATATTGGAGAAGCATGGCAGGCTGAATCAAAAACTAGAAATTGTAAATTCAGCTAAAACCCATTAGTGGTGCTAACGCACTCATACCAAATCCAAATTTGTCATTTACTTGCACATCCTTTTAATCATCAGGAGTTCCACGCCCGTCCAACCAAAAAAAAAAAAAAATTTTACCCATTCCACTGAATTTAATAATTGTTTATGTGAAAAAAGAAAAAAAGAAAAAGATTGCAGCAGCCGCATAGGGACATCAAAGTTGGGTTTGTTTAAAAGAAATGTCAGCAAATATACTAATCACCCGACCCAAAACAAGCTAAGATATTTTCAATTTTCTTTTTGAGTTAACAGCATGATTTCTAATTATATTAGGTTCTTTATCTTTGGTTCATCATTATCGTGCCGTCACAAATAAGAAATATATGGATGAGCTCATGGGCCGGTGACTGGTCCCACCTTTCAGCATCATCCCAAGTCGATATATTACCTATCTCCATATGCTTTGATTCCGTAATTAATGTGGAGTTAAAAGTATGTTGCTTTGCTTTTAACAATAAGATTAAGATGTGATAAACGGTATATGCTTTCATCGGTTGGATTCCCATAGGCCATACACTAAAAAACTATAAGCATTTCTTGGATTTTGAAGATAGAAAGTTATCCCATTTTTAATCGTTGAATATTCCTTTTAAAGCTTTCGGTTGAGTAGTTTTTCTTTGTTTGGATCCTACTCTATTGAGTAAAAAAATTTGTTAACTCATGTGTAAATATGATAATTTTAAACATAATATGAAAATAGAAGTTAAACGGTTTAAATTTTAATAAAAATTATATATATTTAAAAAATTTAAAATAAATTTCATATTTGATAAATAAACATAAATTATAATATAATAATTTTTATATTATACATATTTTTTATAAAATAAATATGATATTAATATATGAATTTCATATAAACTAAGATTCTCTAGTTGGTGAATTTAAAATATTAAGAAACGTGAATTTTTGTTTTTTTTTTGTTTTTTAACTCTTCTATTTCATCCCATCACATTGAGTAGAAAACGTGTTAATTGTGATTCTACCAAACAATGTATTTTGAAAACTGAAAAAGCAAAGAGCTGGTAATTATATCATGTCAAAATTTTATTATTGGCATTCGGCATTCAATTTAAAATAAATTGATTGATGGAATGTCTCTTTTATTTATAAAATTTCAACGTTAGTTTTTGAATTACCACTCAAAACAAATTTAGGCCGTTCCAGCTCCGCTCTTAGCATTTAAGCATATGATTTTTAAAGTCTGGTTTCTTGGACTAAAAAGTTGTGGCCTGCACCCGTCAAGCACTGGAGTTGAAAAGTTTTACGATATTTTTAAGTAGGCCAAGGCTTAGCAATCTAAATCTCCCTTGGTATTGGTTAAAGCATTTACTTTGAAGTTTGGCATTTCACAACGCAATAACAAGAGTTTTACCCAATGAAAACATTATTTTATCAAAAGCAACAAAAAGACAACAAGAGTATTACTGAAGAAGAGAACAAACTACCATGATTTATGACTAACAGTAATGCTGCAAATTTGCTTAATTCATCATTCATCTACTGTTACAAGGGGTAAAAGAGAGAAAAAAAAAAAAAAAAAAACCAAACAAACAAACTGCAAAATCTACATAATCCGATATTTAATTCCATGCTCCCAGCAGAAAAATAAAGCTGGAGATGGATGGGCCAATTGAGAAGGAGATCACCAAACTGTCTCCTGAACTCAAATTGGATTATAACTAAAATCTGCAACATTACTTAACAGACAAGAAAAACTACAAAAATGCTTGCTTATTAACATGAAATGACACTATCTAGTGATATAGTGCAAGATCAAAAGCTGAAAGACATGAGCAAACATAAGTTGTCACTGCTAAAAGGCCTGAAAAATACTCAACCTTCTTGCAGGTGTGATGAAGTGGGGAGAGAATGAGGGAAAAGACTCGGAAATTTTGAATGATTTGAAAAAGAAACAAGGTGGAGATAAGAAAGCTACTAAAGGAAGCACAGGTTTGTTTGATGAAAAATCTGCAACCAGCGAGGAATGAAAGGATATGAAAAAAGAAAAATTAAAAATCTCCTAACCTAAGCCTAGGGGAAAAAAGGGGAGTGAAAAGTCAGAGACTGGTTTCCTGAAAAATCTGCAACCAGTGATAGAAAATCTAAGGGTGGTTGATCTAAATACCTCCTCAGCAAGAACACAAAATAGAAACACGCACACAACGACAAGGAAAAGTAAGGTAGAAGCAGATAGGTCTGTCCTGTAACGCCATACCACTAAAAAGCTGGATTCTACTGATCACCTATCAATCTTGATCTTTCCAAAAGAAGGGTTTCACTGGGCAAGAAGCAGAAGAAGAAGCAGAATTGTCTTGTTGTTGTTTTTCGATGTCAGAATCACTAAATTCCTGCTGATTTTGATTGCCGAAGGGAAGATTTGAGGGCAAAAGAAGATTGTTTGTGGTATCTAAATCATCCCACACTGGACTACCAGGACCCCAACCTGCTGGAATTGCATTGAACCAAGCCTCTGCCATATCTCCCCACACCAATTCCTGAGAACCAGAAACACCTTCCCCTGTTCCAGAACCCTCTGCTGTCAGCTGCACCTCGTCACTAGCTGTTGCCTCACTGGAACCCAGACCTGAATCACTGTCCGGATTTTCTCCTTGAGGCTGTGGTGGTGGTGGCATCATTTCCATTTTTGCAGACTGCAAATTTAGGCCTTCCTGTTCTGGTTGTGGGAGATTCTGATTCTGATTTGGCTTTGAACTTTCATGGGGAGTCTGTGGAGAGGAAACTGTTGAACTTGGGGCTGTGGACGTATCTTTATCCTTATTGAGGAAAAGCTCAGGGAAATTGAGCCTTGCATTCTCTCCCCTCAATTTGAATGCCTCGCGATCATAGGCTAAGGCAGCATCTTCAGCCGTGTCAAATGTGCCAAGCCAAAGGCGAGTCCTGTTTCGAGGAAGACGAATTTCAGCTACCCATTTGCCCCAATGCCTCTGCCTCACACCTCGATAAAGCTTGGTAGTATTTATAGGCTGCACTGGCGGCCTAAACAATTGTCTACCATCCTGCCCCAATCTGCTCATCATCATCATCCTCCCTCTTGGACTCAAATTCAATGTATCACTCCAATATTGAAGAAGTTGCTGCTGCTGCTGAGGTGGTAGGGATGATTCTCCAGCGAAAAATGGCCGATAAACAAAACCATGTTGCTGCTGCAGCTGAGGACTAAAGGAAATCATGTGTTGCTGATTTTGAAGGGATGGACGGAACATTGGCATGAGAGTTGGAGTATTTCCATATTGTTGAGGTAAGTAGATTGGCTGCTGAGATGCATCAAAAGCAAAAGGAAAAAGAAGTCTGGAAGATGGCAAAGAAGCATTGGAAGAAGAAGAAGAAGGCGGGAAAAGAGTTAGAGAAGAAGGCAAGCTTGTAGAAACAGAGGAGGGAGCAGAAAACGAAGGCGACTGATGAGCCAAAGAAGTCGAGGATTGAACAGGGGCTTGACGTTCAGGGCTACATATCTTCTTGAGAGGTCTTTGTGACATTGAAGCTTCATCTAAAACTGGCTTCCATTGCCGCCTCTCCAACCCAAAATCAAGATCCTTGCCTTTGTCAATCTCCCAATCTTGGCCTGTTATCATCTTCTCTGTCTCATCAACAACACCCTTCTTGGATTTGCCACTATTCTTTGCTGCAGCCATTGATACTGATAAGCACTGGCTCGCTCTCTCTATATAAATAAAACTTTGATAAATTGAGGATGGGACGATAAAAAAAAAAAAAAAACTACTACGGAAATATTCAAATCAAATGTATATGTCAAGAGGAAAAAAGAAGGTGGACAAAGATAATCTTGAGTACCCCAGATTCGAATTGGGTCAGCAGATTAAAAAAAGAAAAAGACCGAATTTTAGAATCTGGAAGAAAAATTTAATGGCTAAAACATATGGAAGCAAAACAACAGAACCAGATACGATTTCAGGACTCTTGAACCCATCCCAAAATTCCCAACACAGAGAGAGCGAGCTCAACTTGCATGATGCAACAAGCAAATCCAACAATAGCAAGTTGATTTGGTTGGAGAAGCGATAAGTTGAGAAAAGAAAATCGTAAAAGCAGGGGGAGAGTCTGTTGTTTGAGAAAGGTAGAAGAAATGCAGGGGAGCAGGGGGGGGAGTCGAACCAGAAAAGATTTATAGAGAGGAGTGGAGAATTTGTACAAGTCTCCCTTGTTCTTGGTTGGTTGGTTGGTTTTTCTGGGACCCCACACGGGATGGTCCTTTGCTAATTTCGTTTCCACCCAATTTGTCTCTGCTCTTCTTCCCCACTAACACTCTCGTCTCTTTTTTTTTTTCCTTATATTTAATAATAAGACTTTCATTTCACTATGGTATTTTTATGTGAGTTTTGATGTTTTATTTTCCGAATTTGTGTTCAATTGCCTGATCAGTGGCTTTGTAAAATCTCAACAGCGTAGCTGTGGTACCCTGCATCTCGTTCTAGGGACAACCTCCGAATCCAATCTCACTTCTCAACTCAACTTTTATTTTTTTCAAAAACTAATTAATTTTAAATAATGTATAGCACAAATAATACTATATAATTTAATACATTTGTCATCATAATAATTCGCGTAGATAACTTTTCATTTTAGAATGAGCAAAATACAAATATCACTTGGTTATTATTTAGTGATTCAAGTATTGCCGACTTACATCTTCAATGTATGTAAATTATAAAGAAGATTGAATATTTATTTACACCACTGGTAAATTTAACTTGACACTCTTTTATAAATTTTTATAAGATTTATATTTATTTATTTCGTATGTAACTTATATAAGCTAAATTTTAAATTAACTAAAATATTTGATATAAAAATTTAATCATTAAATATATTAAAAATATAAAATTCTCATTGAAATACAAAAAAAAAATTAATTTAATTTAAAATTTTAGGTGCATGATAAATACAATTATATTATCAAATTCAATGATTGATTTGTTAAATTATTAATAATATATAAAATAAGTTAAAACTATCAAGTTTACGCTTACGTAACTTAATCTCTCCCCTACAAAAAAAATCAAAAAAGAAGAAATTATTTACGGAGGCAAAGGGAGGGGGGATGCGACAGAATATCAAATATCAAAAACAGTTACTTTTAATTTGAATGTTGCCGTACACTGGCGTGGCAGCGTGTGGTTGAATGTTGATGGTGGACGGTGGACGGTGGCCTTAAGAAGACTATGGTGCGCCTGGCGTTGCAATGCGCGGCTAATTCTAAATTTTGGTAATTGACCAGGACCAGTTCTGTTGGTGTTGCTCGATGCTCCTTTCTCGATGCTACGAGATTACATTATTTAAGGTCAGGCTGAGGCAGTCAAGCCCGAGATTCCAACACGTGAACTTTAGGACGGTTCCCTTTCCAGAAAGTTTCTACTCCAATGATATTTTTATTTTATTTTATTTTATTTTGTTGAAAAGGATGCCGCTGTCCTCTGCAGTTTTTAGATACGTTTCTTTTTTTGGCCAAAAGTTTTTAGATATTTTTAGTTTAGTTTATATCAATATCATTATTTATAATTAATTTTTTAAAAAATAATAAAAACTTTACTAGGTTAATACAATCAAAATAATAAATAATATTTTTAATGTAATATAATGTATATAGATAATTATTATATTAAATAATTAAATTAATTTAACGTTATTTTGTACAAAAAATCACTCAAGTCCATTAACATTGGAGGTTTTAAACAGTAATAAATCTTGATATTTGATTTTGAGACGATAAATTAATACTATAAATTAAATATTATATTAATTTATTTTTTTATAAGATATAATCTGTTATACTTATTAATATATTAAGTATTCTATGATACAAAAAATATATTAACAAAAAATAACAAGTTTATAAAATTATAAAAGAAAAATGTTACTATGACAACATTAAAACTTTAAGAATACGATAACTTTTAAATCAATGGTAGAATTACTAATTACATGATCTTTTAGAATTACTAATTACATAATCTTTTTATAAAGTATGGAATTTTTTATTCTTTTTGACAATTTAAATTTGAAATAAAAACATGCACAAATCTATCATTTTTATAGGCATAAATTGGTTGGTAAAATTTTTACACAAATAAGAAAAATAAATATTATTTAAAAAATAAGTTGAAAATATTTTAGATTAAAATCTACGGTGTTTTTTGTTACAAATATTTTTAAAATAATGAAAATAGTGATTAAGTAAATTTAAATAATCAAAAGAGAAATCATGTTAAGTTATTTAACTTGATAATGGTTCCAAGATATAATTCTAAATACTTAAAAGAATTATATTGAAAAGAGTTTACATGAAAATAGTTGATTGTCATACTTGAAAGAGTCTACTACCTTAGGCTTCCAAGAAGAGCAATCAACTCCCTAAGACATGGAGTCAATTGCTTTAACAAACATAGGCTAAACAAAGTTTCTATATGAGATAACAAACAGCTACCTTCATAAAATAATTGATTGCTACTATTGAAAATTAGTGGAATTAAGTCTTAACCCTCAAGAAATCAACTACCAAATATATAAAAGTCTTCTGAAAATTAATCAAGGCCATGGCAATTGACTACTCTTGAATAGAAATCAATTGCTTAAAGAATGCTGAATGTGGAATCTCTTCTAAAGATTGAAAGGAGTCGACTGCTCACAAATAAGATACATTCGGACTACATTAAAAAATGTAAAAGTAGTCGACTGTTCTAATGAAAAGTTGACTACCTTGTCCTTAAAAGCATTTTGAAAATTGTATTTTCAAAGGGGTAATGGATTACCTAGTTGGAACCATTGACTACTCTACGTGAAAAGTTATAATTTCTAAAAATGTAAAAAATAATCTCTCTTTGTTTGATTAGTTTTATTATTCAAATGAACAAATATATTTATAATTTTTTAAAGAGACATATTTATAACTAAAAGAAAGTGATTTTTTTATTAAAATAGCACAATTAAAGAGTCACAACTTAAGGATTAAATCTCTATAAATAGAGATTAATGTAAGTTCATTTGCACATCAAAGTTAATTCCCAAATTCTTTTCTTTTCTCTCATTTCTCTCAAATAAAAGCTAGTTTCTTTAGCATTATTTGCTGTAAAAAACCTTGTTAAAAATAACATATTTCCATATCTTATTAAGGAGTGTTTAATGGTTTAGTTCTTTTAGTGCAAAGTAAACTAAACATAAGTTTTGTTGTATTTTTGAGGCTATTCAATCCAATCTCTTTTGCATATCGTAATTGATAGAAACCGAAATAACTGTTAAGGAAAGTGGCATTTATAGCACGTTTTGAAAACATTTTCATTCATGATTGAATATTTCTTTTGTTCAACAAGAGATACAATAAGAAGATTATAAGAAGATCACATATTGAACAATCTAGTACGTTTTATATTATGTTCTCAAACATTGTATTTTTCTAGCACTTTTAAAGCTTAATTTGCAACATGGATAACTTCAATTACATAAAGAGGATGGCAACCAATTACCAATTTTGGAAAGGTTTGATGGCAGCAACTTCCTAAGGTGACAACAAAATGTGCATATCCTCATGTCTTCACTAAAGATTGCATATGTTCTCACTATTCCAAGGTTGGAAAAGAGATGATGAATCTTGTAATGAAACTTACAAAAAGAAAAAGAAGGAAAACAATGACTACACATGCATGGGCTATATTTTAAATGGTATGTCAAACTTTTTATTTGATACCTACATTTCATGCACTTCAACAAAAAAATGAGATGAGTTGGATGCAAGGTATACAAAAAATATGCTATATCCAAAAAATTTTTAGTTTCAAGATGGAACATGTATAAAATGACTAATTCTAAGTCGGTCATGAATCAATTTCTTGAAATTTAGACTACCTCGAATAAATTCAAACAATATAATATAGAAATGGATGAGCCATTTGTTGTGTTTTCCATTATTGACAAACTTCTTCCATCACGAAAAGACTTTAAGAAAATATTGAAACACACAACAAAAAGATGTTAATCTTGAAAATCATGCATGTTATCTTCACCTAAAAAAGCAATATTATAAGGAGAATGAAAAAAAAAAAAGGAAAGCTAGTTCTTCTAAGGCAATATATTGGAAGATGTCAAGCCATCTATATCCATAATGAGAAAGAAACTCTCACCAAAGGCCACAAAATTTAAAAAACAAACATGTTGCTATTGCGAAATGCAATGTCACTTCAATAAAAATTATCCAGTAATAAAAAAGAATAAAGATGTACCTTATGCAACTAAAGATAATTTTGTTGAAATGAATTTTGAAATCAATGTCATTGAAGACAAAGAGGCATGGTGAAAAGATTTTGGCACCATTAAGCTTGTATGTACCAACAAAGCAATGTTAAGAAAAAGGCAATGTGCTATACATGAAAAATTTATCTACAACTAAAATTAAAGGTAAATGATCCATTGATTTGAAATTTACATTTGTAAAGACATTAACAATTACAAATGTTTAGTATGTTCTAGAAGTTATGAAAAATTTTGTATCCGCTAGTTTTCTTAATAAGCATGGTTTTAAGTTAATGTTTAAAGCAAACAAGTTTATCTTGTCTAAGGGTGGTACATTTGTGAAAAACACTTATACCTATAATGGCATGTTCAAACTCAATGTACTTGCTATTATTATTAACAATAAAAAGAAAAATGTTTTTTTTTTTACTTGATTCTTTTGATCTTTAGCATTATAGATTAAGACATGCTTATTATATTAGAATGGATGCAATGTCTAAGTCTTGTTTATTTTCAAGTATTAAAAGAAATGATGAAAAATATAAAACATGCATGCTAACAAAGATTACTAGAAAACATTTTCATAAAGCTAAAAGAAGTTTTAAAATCCAAGAACTAATACATAGTGATATATGTGATTTGCATAGTACTCCATCAATTAGTGGTAAAAAGTATTTTGTAACTTTAATTGATGATTATTTAAGATATTGTTATGTTTGCTTGATGCATTCTAAAAATCAAACATTGGATAAGTTCAAAACTTATATAAAATTGCATGTTAAAAAGACTTAGTCTAAATACCTACTATCGCCACACCCAATCTAAAGTTGATTCAAAGAAGTATACAAAAATAAACTAGCAACAACAATAATGGAAAACCAA